ATAAGAGATGGAAGAAGAATCATTTTCATGAAGAAATACAGATGATAAATTAGATATATAATCCTGCTACTAATTAAAGGAAAATTCAAGCAGACAGTATTTGCAGCATGGTCTGGGTACATCTTGCAAAACATGATTCAAGTTATAGCTATAGCTTTGGCTTAAACTTAAAACCCATGCACTTTTTATTCTTTTAGTACAACAAATATACTGCAAATAAAACTTGTAATTGAACATATTTGCCACCAGGTGTCATTTTTGTTTAACTTTAAAATTAAATTGGGGGGAAGAAAAGTGGAGCCACGGCTTTAAGATTTATGGTAGACAGGACCTGGGGTGGGGGGTAGTTCTGTACTGAACTAAACAAACTAAAGATAAAAAAGACACCTCTGAGAGGGAAATGTAAACATTCTTAAAATTTTAAGTTACTTTATTATTATTATTTTTTTAAATATGACCGGTAAGGGGATCTTAACCCTTGACTTGGTGTTGTCAGCACCACGCTCACCCAGTGAGCAAACCGGCCATCCCTGTATGGGATCTGAACCTGTGGCCTTGGTGTTACTAGCACCGCACTCTCCTGAGTGAGCCACAGGCCGGCCCTTAAGTTACTTTAAAAATAAAAATTTGATAAGAATAAAAGGGATAAAACATTTTTTGATAAATAAAACAAAGATTCAAGTTCAATTTTGTATTATTGAAAAAAAAAATTATGGGGGACAGAGGAGAAGAGAGAGCAAAGAAGAGAGAAAGGGAGAAGAACAATGAAATAGGAGAACCAAAGAAGAAAAGTAGAAAGAAGGGATAGAGAAAAAAAAAAAGTTCCTTAAAAAAAAGTCTATCTTTTTAGGCAGCCTTGTTTTATTTTTTTATTTTTTTTATTTTTTATTTTTTTATTTTATTTTTGTCTTTTGTCTTTTTCCATGTCCGGCAACGGATCGCAACCCTCAGTGTTGCCCCCGTACCGGACCGGGGACCGGCAACGGGATTGCAACCCTCAGTGCTGCTCCCGCGCCTCGCTCAGCCAGTGAGCGGGAACCGGTCTGTATGTGGGATCCGAACCCTCGGACGGGAGCGCCGCCGCGCTTTCCAAGCGGCGCACTTATCCAGTGCTCCACCGGGCCGGCCCTAGGCAGCCTTGTTTTAAAAACAACACCCACTAAGACTGTATTAAAATTATAAAATAATATTTATAATATATGGCTTACATTATCTTACAAACTGTTAAGAAACTGTATGCCTCCCAATGAAATCAAATCCAGTGGACACAAGCCAAGACCTGAGCCAAGGCCTGACATAGTAGAGATCACATGGATGGGCTCAGAGGACGACAGACATGGGTCATAGGTCATTTTCATAGGCTGAGTGATCTCAGCAAATGACTTAGTCTCCCCAGCCTCAGTTTTAAATCTGAAAGTGGGGATAATGCCACTTACAGAGTTTTTGTAAGACTAAAACTAAAATAAGTGAAAACGCATGTTGCCTGGAAAAATACATGCTGCCTGGAAGATAGCAGACTCTTAATATTTTCTAAATCTGATTCTGTTTTACGTTAAGTACTTAACTCTGAAACTATTCCCTAATGTGAGTCCTTTCCATTCAGCTATTTCTCATCCCCTTAGCCCAGAACACCTTTTTCCAAACCCCTCCCCTCTAAATCTTAAGATTTAAGGACCAGCTTAAGACTCACTAAATTTACAGATCTTCTCAATGACTCTCATCACCTTTCTATCTCTATTACAAGTTAACATTTTCTTGTTTTCTGAATTACACTATTACATTGTTGCTAATTACTTCACGTATCCCTAGTCCTGTCTACCCAGTAGTAAGTGCTGGAACTAATCTTAGGTATTAAAAAAAGAAACAATAATTCTCTTAGTATCTAGAATTATTTATCCATCTGTTTTACTCTTTCAATAAATATCTATGGAGTACCTAACATGAATATTTAAGGCACTATATCAAGTGCTGAAGATACTGGAATAATTGGTTCAGGACACAAAGTATGGTTGTCAGCATAACAGAAAAAGCAAGGGAGAAGAGGAGAGAGTAAAGAAGAGGCGGCAGACAAGGATGCTCAGGTAGTTCTGTCATGTGAGTGTTAGCTGGAGATAAATTCTCTTATCATTTGGGCACTGGACACCAGAGTAAGTTGTCATCAATAACATTTTATTGAGCACCAGTTATGTGTCAAGTTCTTATGATCCTTACTAAGTAAAGGTTTTAATAATTCAGTAGCCAGAAAAATAAATCTTCTCTGAAAAAGGTGATTTATTTTCTTATAGTTTAGAGCAGAACTGGGCCTAACATTTAATAGCTTATTTGCTTTTGTTTTCAAATTTCAGAGTTTATTTATTTTATTTTATTTATTTTTATTTTTTATTTTTTTCCTTTTTGTCTTTTTTACTGACCGGTAACGGGATCGCAACCCTCGGTGTCGCGCCCGTACCGGGGACCGGCAACGGGATCGCAACCCTCGGTGTTGCGCCTGCACCGTGCTCAGCCAGTGAGCGGGAACCAGTCTCCACATGGGATCCGAACCCTCGGCAGGAGCGCCGCTGCGCTCCCAAGCGGCGCACTCTCCAGTGCGCCACTGGGCCGGCCCATCAGAGTTTATTTTTGAAATAAAATTTATTTAATTATGGAATTCTAAAGTTTCTGATCATCTATAAAGAATGACATGTTTTAGAACTAGACTTTGCTTTAAGGCTTGTTTCCTTTTTATTTGTTAGGTAAGATTAGTAGATCTGAAGGTTATGTTTGGAACCAACATTTTAAAAATAATTATATCCTAACTTATTTAACTGAATTTTTGTGATACTATATACAATGGGTATTTAAAAAAAAAAAAAAAAAACCATTTAAAGTACCTAAACAGATTAATAAGAGACAGAGAAAAGAAAAAGGACCAAGAAAGCCAGGAATAAGTATGCCATCCTCTAAAAACAGTGTCTGAAAATACTCTTATTAAAACTTTAAGAAGTTTATTTGGGCCATGTATTTTACATGTGGCTCCACATTTTGCAGATGAGGAAACTAAGGTCCAGAGAAGTTACCTACTCTGAGGATCAGAGTAGTAGTATACAGCTACAAGGTGGCAGGAATGGGGGTTTGATCCTTGTCTGGTCTGATTTCCAAACCCATGTTCTCTTCACTCTATTAAATTTTCTCTACAAAAAAGTGAACTGGGCTCTTGATTAGCTGTACTAATGGCACTTGGCCATTAGTGTCTCTCCTTGTCACAAATATTCTGAAGCTCTGGTTCTGTGGCTCTACACTCTCACCCTTCCAGTTTTCTTTACCTTCTCTGGCCCACTAATTACAGGTCTTACTCAGAGTTCTGCCCTTAGCCCACACTCTAAATCTTTCCTTTTAGGGATCTTATCCAACACAAAAGCTTCAATCATCACCTGTGTCTGGGTAATTTCACGATCTGGGTCTCTGCCACTATTTCTAATTGCCCAAACATTTACACTTGCTCACCTAGCTGGTACCTCCACGTCAACATGACTAAAACTTACTACACCAAATCCTTTCACCCTTTGGCCTTCCTAATGGTTTTTCACAGTCCAGGAAGGGCAAGGCCTCTGAATCACTTTTTACTCTTCCTTTTCCTTCACCTCTCACTTACTTAACACTTTGTCATCTATAGATTGGTCCTTTCTTCACTGACAGTTGATCTCATATTCATCTCTTTTTCCATCCGAAGTGCTTACCACTCAAGGTATACTCCCACCACCACCTCTGTACACAAAAACTATTGCTACCTCTGTTCCCCTTCCTCCACCCCGCACACTACTAATAGACTAATTTTATCAGCGTACTGCTCTGAGCGGAAGCTCTTGGCTCAAAAGCCTTTCGTGGCTTCCTACTGTCCAGGACCTCCATATTGGTGACCTGTTCTGCTTTTATATTCTCATTTTCCCCTACTCCCCTATGTATTTTCTAAATTAACACAGGTAAACTTGACCACTTGAAGTTCTCTCTACATGATTTATACTTCCTTAGTTTTACCCTGTTTCTCATTTCTTCAGCCTGGAATGTTTTCTCTCCTCGATCTCTCCCTGTTAAAATCTTATCCACCCTCCAACACCTCCTGTTCTGCAAAATCTTCTCCCTTCACTCCCTTTGAACTTGTGCACAAGCCTGGTCATTTTGAGGAAGGATGATATCTTATTTGTTTTGGGTCACTTCTTCTCCCAATTTATTCAGTACCAGGCATAAAGCCTTGGGTAGCGTAAACACGCAATACATGTTTCTGAAATGAATAATGAGAGTAGTGATGTGCAAAATTCAAAACTGCAATCAACCAGAAGAAGCTTTTTCTGATTGTTATTAGATTCTAATAATTCGGTGTCATTTGCCTTTCTAGTTAATTTACTTAGTTAAAAGTAAAAAAAAAAAAAAAAAAAAGTTCCATTTCCCTGATGCCTGTTGGTGGCCGAGGGGAGAAATCCAAAGTTCTCTTGGGTAGTAGGGGAAGGGTGTTTAAAACCTAAAATTTTTAGTGTATAAAACCTAACTGAATACCAGTGAATTAACTATTTTTTAAAAAATTGAGGACAGCAAATGCCATCTATATAAGATAGTAGCTACCTATTAAGAGGGAAAAAAATGTTGGGCCTGTTGTTTCTTGGAAGAAGTTGAAGATTCTGTTTTATCCTCGCTTTCCCAAGATTTTTAATAAGATGAAAGTACACTTTAATTTTTAATACATTTGCCCTCAAATGTTGACTGTACAAGTAAGAAATGATTTTTCTTCTTGACCAAGAACAAGAAGGCAAAAGTAGCATAACCACAAAACAGTGCACAGCACACTGAAGAGAAGAATATCACTGGGGGTTAGAAAAGCAAAATGACCCACATTTGCCTTTTAGGTTTTAGTGATAGAAAACCCCGCTTCTTAGATTCAGGAGGTTCCTGCATTCTGTTTAAATCAATTCTTTTCAGAAGTTTCCAGTCAAGCCAGAACCACAGGTCACAGACAGAAGCCAACTCACATGAATTCTGCCATCTTTGACGGCAGGACCATCCTCAGCAAGACGAAGGATGAAAAGGCCCATGTTGTACTCCTTTCCCCCTCGGAGGCTGAATCCAAAGCCCCGGGGGCCCCTCTCCAGCTCCACTGGGTAACAACCAAGGCCCTAGGGAAAAAAAGTGTAAGAAAAACAACTTCTCATGGACTCCTTTATTTATATTCTGAAGAAAGACTACTTTCATAGCTGTGAGAAATGATTTTTACTTTCCATATACATTTCTATAGCATAAGGAGAGAATTGTTTGAAGGGCTGCCTAATTTTTATAAATGCAGCCTAAATTAATCTGAAGATTACATTTCTCTACTAGTTAGTCAATGTGCAATGGAACAATTAGAGAAGAGAATTTTGGGAAGTTCCTCCTTTAAGTAGATTTTGACTAATATTCTTGAAAACAAACAAAAAGCCCCTATTTTTATTAGCTAAAACACTATTTGCTTCTAAGTGCAAGGGTTCAAATTTCTCCTACTATATGGTAAATTTTTCTTTCACTCTTTAGATTCTCACATGGAAGCTAACAGAATGTCAAATACATAGTAGGTCTACAAGAATTATTAATTTTGGAAACAAACTTATCCAAACTGGTTTGCAATAAAAATTTACCAATGTCAGTGACACAGAAACTCAGAACATCAGTCTGCATGTGTGGGATATTTGTTTACCTGATTGTGCCGACTGCCTACAATTGAAATCACTGCAGTGTCAGGCTGTGCGAGGTGCTTGTGGTCAGACCACGAATGTCTGTAAGAAGTGGAGACATCTTTTCCAATTTCACCTTCTAGGGCACTTCTACAAGAGAGAGAAATCAAGTCACTCTCTGAACTGAGAAAATGAAAAATAGTCTAAAAGTAAAGGCAGATTAATTTCTTTTCTTTGAAAAGCTGAATGTTGCCATTCTCTGACAAACCACTATAAAGACAGACTGTATCTAGAACCAGACAGACTCTAGGAAAAATCTCGTCATTAACTCCAACACAGCTTAAAGTCTGTCAAAATCCCATTTTTTAAGGGTGCCTCAGTGCAGTTTATATCAATGAAAACCGCACTCAACTGAACTGGAGAGTGGGTAAGTTGACCTTGTCACAATGAAAAATGGCTCTCTGTAGCACCAATGCCTGTGAAGATACTGCATTTCTCAAAATCTAGTTTTTGTTTCATGGCTAATATTTTCAACAAAAGAGAAGAGAAATACGTACAAAATCCTGCTCTGCTCAGGCAATCTAAGAAGACAGCAATCTGTGCGGGTCTGAGGTCACCGTTACAAAAGTAGGACCAAGAATAGCAGAGACAGATACTACTGTCACCTGTTTCTAATCCTCCCCTGTCAGGCATGATTGGATAATCCTACTGTGCCTAGGATGGGGGCTAGGAAGAGGTATGAGGTGTCAAGGGGGTGGAGGGAATAGAGAAGGCATTTGAGGGTGGTATATGGAAGATTTTTCATTTCAACTTCAACAGCTGGCTTCTGCGTAAGTGCATGGGGGAGGGGTATGGGATAGGTGATGAAGAGTGGGGAGATGAGGAGGAAAAAAACACAAAACCTGAGAAGAACAGCCCCACCTGTCCCCAGGAATATGGTTGGCCTGTGACTGTCCCATGGGCCTGTGCTGCAGGGCTGGGCTTTGCCTGGCTGAGTTTGTTCCTGATGGTGGACCGTGATGCTCTGTTTAAATGAGAAAACAATAGAAATAAGAATTTATACATAAAAATGTGAAGGCCAAGTGGATCTATGAAAATGAGAAAATAACAAATGGTTACTGCTTTACCAACTTTAATGACTTTAGCATGAGCAGCACTATTGTCAGCTGTCTGGAATTGGAACGTTCACACTTTTTTCTTGCGGCTTTTGACTAATGTGTGTTTTAAGAGAACAGGAGTCATATTCTTACTTCCCCACTTTCACCTTTGTTTTGTTCACCCATACGACATGAAGATCAGAAATGAATATGCTTAATAATATTCATCTAGAAGACAGAGCTCCAGTAAGTATCTTGTAGACAATTATTCTATGGGTTTCTAGAGCATACTTCTCATAATTGGCAAGCTATTCTAGATGACAAAGATAGGTTTCAGGAATGCTGGAACAGAGGCCGGTCTGCAAACTACACACACATCTGTGAGCTTATATCTTTAATATAGAAGCAGTTATTTTGCTTGACACTGAACACCAAAGACAAACTTATAAAATCATCCTGATTGCTGACAAATGTTTATAAAGATTATACTGCTTCTATTTTCTAAGATCACAAATATAAGTGAAAAAAGTAGCATTTTTTTCTGTATCATTCCCAACAGCTCTGGACCTCCTGCTGTTCCTGGACAGCAGATTTCATAGCTAAGCAAAGTTAACTGCCTGCATCTAGAACTAGATGGCACGTCATGGGAGATGACAGCTAAAAGAGATTCTTAAGGCTGTCAGACTCATATGCTCAAAACTGAAACTTGAACATTTTACTCTGTCCAATGTACCCAAGTACTGATAGTCAACTCTGTATCCCACAAATATTTATAATTATGTTTCAATAAAAATAATATCAAAGCATAGGATATTTAAAATATCAAGAACAGGGAGCGTAGCTTGACTAAGACCATGAACTCCGGAGCAAGATGGACAGGGTTTAGGCCTGACTCCATCATTTACTAGCTATGTGTTCATGAGCAAATCAGTTATATTTTCTGTGCTTCTAATCATCTCATCTATAAAAGGGGAATTACAGTTACCTCATGGGGTTATTGTATTAAATAAGTTCATACATGTATATGCTTAGAACAGTACCTGGCCTATAATATTCACTATATAAAGGTTTCTATTATAACTATCATCATTATTGTCATCATCAACAGCAAAATGATATGTCCCATTTGGGGCTGCATTTCTCTTAAAATATGAATGTTAGGAAGTTATTTCTACTGAGGAAACTGAAACTTCAGGCTTTACTATATGCATCACTGTTTTATGACTTGGATTAAGTTGTTCCTCTTTGAAGTTCTGTGGGACTAAAACCATAAGTAAAATATTTTTATTTAAGAATGTCTCACATCTGGAAGCTAGAGAGTACTCTAAAAACAGGCAAAACACAAGCAAGAGGGTAAAAAGTGGGAGGAGGACAGAGAAGTGGTATATGATCAAACCACCTGGCCCCTGAGCATTCCTAATGCTCTCTAACTGCTAGCCTTGTATGTCGAGATGGATTTCAACATGTACCAGACTTCGAGATGTAAGTCTGTGGAGGAGAACTTACCAGAAGGTTGTGTTTCCTCTTTAAAGTCAAGTATTCCAGGAAGGAATGGTGGGATGGGGTGGGCTATAATTTTTTTCTTTTTTTGGTGACCTAGAAATCTGCTGCTCTTTTATATTGCTATCATGAATTTTATTTTCCTAATTAGCTTACCAAGATTCCAGTTCTAACACACAGATTGAAACATGCCACAAACTGCTTAAAAACCTATGGTGACTTTTTGTTGCTCATATGATACTACTCAACCTTGCCACCTGGACAGTCCTGCCTTCCCACTTCACCTCCTGTTCAAAATGTCATCTCCCTTATGAAAACCTACCTGGCTCCTTAACTACACTGAGATCACAATATTTTCATAGCACTTACCACATTGTGTCAGAGCTAGCTGAATACCCATCTCTCCTGCTAGACTGTGGACTCCTTGATTGGAGAAATTACACCTCATTTATTTTTATATTCCTGTCGCCACTGGAAATTCCCAGAAGTCCTTCCACCTTTGCTTACTGGATATGTCAATTTCAAGTTACCTGTTTGTAAACTTGAGTGCCCATTATAGAGCTGAATTCTCTTCTGTCATTGTAAATTCATGGCTACTACTAAGGGGATAGAAACAGATGTGGAAAATTACATCTATCAACAAAATGACTGGGAGATGCTTATACCTTTGTAGAAGTCCATGATAGATAATTTTTTGTCTTTACTAGCTTGGCTAAAGTAATGGGTATATAATATCACAGAAGGAGAGTATAAATGAACTGATCAACTTCAAGTTTTCTTCTACCTTCCCTTAAGATCGGGAGATGTCACTTCTTGGCAAAAAGTACCACATATTGGTGTTTACATTTTACGTTACATGTTTTTTGTTGTCCTCATCAAGATTAAATAAAAAATATATGATTGGTATGCTTTTCATTTTTAGTCCTTCAACCCATGGTATGTGACTTCTCCAATCTACTTCTGTGTCATAAGCTACTCTACTTCTCAAAGTCAAATATTTATTCCATGATATCAAACAGACCTATGTTCTCTCTAAATTTTACCTGAAAATTCTTCAAAGAGTGAAGCAATGGGTTAAGTATATCTGTCATAAGCTACTCTACTTCTCAAAGTCAAATATTTATTCCATGATGTCAAACAGACCTATGTTCTCTCTAAATTTTACCTGAAAATTCTTCAAAGAGTGAAGCAATGGGTTAAGTATATCTCTCCCTCAATGAGTATTAATTTTTACTGGAGTTTCTGTGTGTAAGTACTTAAGGAAAAGTATATTATCAGAGGATAAACCACAAAATCCATAGTTAAACTATAACAGCAAACATTATAATGTATTTACCAACAATAAATAAGAACCCAATGAGAGAACTTTCTAAAACTCTATTAAAGGACATAAAAGGTAATCTGAATAATTGGAGATACACCTTACTTTTAGGTGGAATGACAATATTTAAGATATCAATTTCCCCAGAGTTTATATATATATTTTCCCAATATACCCCAATAAAATTGCAGTTGGATATTTTTGGAGGAGTTTAATAATTTGCTCTAAAATTTTACATGGGAAAGTTCCATGGATAGCTAGTCAATTTGGAGACAGAGAGAGACAGATTTGTCCTAACAGACAGATATATTAGGATACACCACAAACTTACAGATTAAAAAAAAAAAGCTAAAAAAAAAATACACATACCAATCATCAACCCAACAACAAGTAAATTAATAGAACAAAATATAGAGCTTAGAGACTCATGTTTAAAGGGGAAGTTAATATACAGGATAGATGGCACCACAAGTCAATGGGGAAAAAAGTACTGTGTAATAGTTCGTGCTGGGAAAACCAGCTCATGACAAGAATAAAGTATCCAACTGTGTCCCTTCTAAAACTATACACAAAGGTAGGCTCTCTCTCCATCTCTCTCTCTCTCTCTCTCTATATATATATATTTACAAAAAATGCAAAATGCAAAATGCAAAATTACAAATCTAGTAGAAGATAATGTAAGAAAAAATCTTGTGGTATGGGGTGAAAATCTTAAAATGTGAGGTTTTATCTTAAAAACCTCAAAAACTCAAGCTCTAAGGTAAAAATTAACTGATTTGATTATATTTAAATTAAGAATTTCTTTATAATGAAGGGGAACCATGGTCAAAGTTAACACATTGATGACAGGAAAAGATATTTACATTTTCTTTTTTTTTTTCGGTTTTGTGTGACTGGTAAGGGGATCGGAACCCTTGGCTTGGTGTCGCCCGCACCGCGCTCAGCCAGTGAGCACACCGGCCATCCCTATATAGGATCCGAGCCCGTGAGCACTGCTGTGCTCCCAGCGCTGCACTCTCCCGAGTGAGCCACGGGGTTGGCCCAGATATTTACATTTTCTAAAACAAAATCAGACTAATGCCTATTTAATTCACAAAGAACCCCTAAATATCAACGTGAAAGACAGAAATCCCACAAGAAAAATCCCACAAGTAAAAGATACGAACAGGCAATTCACAAGAAAAAAGCTCTAAGCATATGAAGAAATGCTCACATTCATGGGTAATGAGAGAAATGCAAATTAAATAACAATGAGATAACATTTTCATTGCTTTAGATTAGCAAATTCAAAAGCTGATAATGCCAAGTATTGGTAGGGATGCAAAGGTATAGGAATCTTCAGTGTTTTGCTGGGGGAAGTATAGATGGATGCAGCAATTATGGAGAGCAATCTGACAGTACTAAGTCAAATTAAGCACACGTATATCCTTTGATCAAGCAATTTCAGTCCCCAAATTTTCACACTGTTTCATAAGATACACATACAAGGATGCGTATCACAGGATTGTTGGTGGTACTGTGAAGTTGGAGGCAATGTGGCTAAGGGGAAATGGACAGGTAATATGTGTAAATATACATTACAGAAAACTGTCAAGCAGTAAAAAGCAATCAATTTTATTTACCCAGCAATGTGGATAAATCTTAAAAGCACATAGTGCTATTGTTACCAGGGATGAAGGTCCTGTTGTCTCGCTCCTTTCCCCAAGACAATGAAGAATCAGATACTCCAGTCTGAGGCAACAGCAAAGCTTTCATGAGCAAAAAGGAGCATACACTTTAAGAGAGAAGAGGGCCAATTCCCTGAGCAGAGAATGGCCCCTTACACACAAGTTTAGGGGTTTTTATCTTACTAATTTTGTATGTGTATTAGCAAACTTGATTGCCATTTTGATTGACAGGTCAGGATTATATAACCTTTTCCCCACTGCGCATGTCCTTACCCATAATTTAGTCTGTTATAAGGATATGTACTTATAGATTGCATATGTATAAGCCCCAAAAGAGTACTGGCATGTTCAAAGGCACCTAAGATCTCAAGTTTTCCCTACTGCGCATGTCCGCACACCTGGGAAGTCCCTATCAGGACCTCAAGGTCAAATTGAGGCT